TGCAGACTGGGCTTTGGTGTTTGCTTGGAAGAGGGGAGGCTACTGGGGTGGGACCTGGGCCTCGCACCTGCTGTGTGTGCAGCCGTGTTGAGCCCTGATGGCTGTCTCTGTTCCTCAGTCCTCTGTGCCGTTGTTGTGCCGTCTCCAGCGCGCGGTTGAGGAGGGGGACGGAAAGGTCTGACTTCCTTTCTGTGTAGTTTCTGCCTGTCAGCTGTCTGTTCCAGCCTCCTTAGCTGACTCCTGGCACCCTTGGTGTCTGGCGCCACTGGTTCTGGAGGGTTCCGGGGCTGGGCGTGCACAGTGACTTTCTTCCCTTGGGGTCCTCTGTGCACACGCAGGCACCACTGCCTCTTGCCCTCATCCTTTTCCTGGGAGGAGCAATGCGGGTGGGCTTCATGAGGTTTTTTTTTGAAAAGTGGGTAAAGGAAATAGACCGGTTCTCACCCTGCTCAAGCTTTCTGTAGGCTGCCAGGAACAGAGTTTGGAGATTTGTGTGGGGGACAGGGCCCTCCCTGGTAAGAGGACTGGCTGTGCTGTGTTGCAGGCCTCACTTCCTCCAGCGCCTCTCCAGCCACCTGCCTTGCCTTCCACTCCGCCTGCTGTCCCGACCCTGCACTCTTAAATACCTGGCTGTCGGGGTTTCCAGCCTGCTGGTTGACGGACAGCCTCCTCGCTCCTGAGAGGCACCTGAAACAGCCTGGCTGGGCTGAGGTTCTGGCTTTGGCTCCTCGCCCTCGGGCATGCTGGCCCCTCACTGGCATGAAAGCGCCTTAGACGCCTGAGCCGGACCCAGTGCTTCCTACGCCTGGGCCTACGGATCTCCCCACTGCCTCTGGGATGACTTGGCTGCCGCCTGCCTGTCCAGTACAGCTTCTGCTAGCTTCTCTGGCCACGTCCCATCATTCTTGCTTCTGCCCTTGACCCTCCAGTCCCTGTCCTGTTCTAACATGATCAGTGCATTTTCTGCCGCAGGGCCTCCGTGCTTGCGCCCCCTGCCCAGGAGGCTTTGTGCAGATGTTCACCATGGCTGCTCCTCCTCCCCACCCATCAGTTCCGTGCTCAGAGGTCGTGGTCCTGGAGCGCCCGCCCCATGGCTTGTAGCATGCCAGGTGTTGCACCTCAGTGGCACCGTGTCCATACACGGGAGCCTGCCGACTCCATGCTTTTCGCCTGTGCTGTCAGGCACCTTCTCTGTTGGGCTCCTTTGCCCCCAGCACTGGACTCACATACCCTGAGCAGCCTCCTCGGTCCCTGCCCGCAGTGGGCCCTTGAGTCAGCAAATGCTGTATCTGCGAGCTGCAAGCTGGGAGTCACGCTAGAGGACCTGCCTGGTGTTACGCCTGGAGTCTGGGGTCTGCATGCCCGGGGAGGGTGGTGTGGTTGGGGGAGGTCTCAGCTGTTCTTGGCCTACTGCTTCCTGACTTTCCGACGACACGGATACCACCAAGGACCTGCTGGTGGCTTTCCTTTCTGCCCGCCTGCTGCCCCAGCTCAGGGTGCTCCAGGCACATTCACGTCTGCTCCGTACCTCTTTGCTCTTAGCTGTATGCTTCAGGTGCTGATGAGGTGTTTACTCCTCTGTGAAGCAGTTGAGCCAGGCCCTGGGTACTGTGTGGATGGTGGGTGTTTGTCTGTGGCTTCTGCTCCCTGCTGTGTGGCTCTTGAAGATTTGAAAGACCCAGGCGCACCCCTCTGTTCGGCTAACTTCTCTTAGGCCAGCTCACTCTGGCAAATGCTGAAGCTTTGGAATATTCCAAAGAAATCTCTTCAAAGCGTAGCAGAGTTGATTCCTCTACAGCCTAAAATAACACCTGTCACATAAGAAATTCTTCTTGGCATTTCTTTGGGAGGAGACAAACCGCACTGTGTGCTGGTGCACGCGTGCTGGTGTTGCTTCCCCTTGGACACAGTCTGTGTGTTCCGGCTCCTCTGCTTGGCACGGGGCCGGCCCAGTGGACCTCGAGCTTTGCCCTGCCGTGCCCTCTGAGGGGCAAAGGGCAGCACAGACAAACCAAATGACAAGTTTTGGAAGTCTCCTTGAACATTACATTTGAATTGCTTAATTCAGTCTCCACTCTGAATCAGTTGCTAGGCAACCAGAAGACAGGGAAGAATCAGCAAGACTAATCTGGTCCTGTTAGTAGCATGTTACCGTGTCTTACATTTGCATTGACAGTTGGTTGCGCGTGCACCACATCCAGCGCAGTGCTCAGCTTTGCCCAGGGAAAGTCCTTGGTATGGAACGCAAAGCCAGGCTGTGGTTGGATTCGCCCAGGGTAACCCACACACACCCCTTGGGTGATGCACGGGCCTTTGCGGCAGTGGCGTCTGCTGTGGCCAGCGTTGCCGTCCGTCTGGTGTTAAGCAAGGTCGTGTGATGAGCTGAGCAGGGTGCTGCCTGCTGCTTCTCAGTCTTCAGCATTGTGGATCCAGCCTGATTGTTCCAAAATCACCGGGAATGAAGTTGTTTTGAAATGAAGCCCATGTAGCTGTCATCCTAGGAAGTCTGTTAAAAAAAAACCAGAAAGATAGTTTTACTCTATCTTGTTGTTGATGGAAATTGAAACTGCTGACCCCACTTGGTCCATAAGTAAGGCGTGCTGATGAATGAAACATGGTGAGTGCTTTTCTTGTTTTAAGTCATGTGCATACTTAAGGAAGTCACTGTGGCCCAACCCGTGCAGCACGTCTCGTCCTGTGTTGAGGACAGGACATTGTGTGCTGGCTGAGAGCCTTGTGATCGTGTGTGGTGAGGTACCGTGAGAGGAGAGCCTTGTGATCGTGTGTGGTGAGGTACCGTGAGTGGAGAGCCTTGTGATTGTGTGTGGTGAGGTGCCGTGAGTGGAGAGCTCGCCCACGTCCAGCAGGCCGAGAAGCTCTGTTTCTCTGTGCTGTCATTGCATCGCCACTGCTGGACACAGATGGCCATGACCTGGGCCTGTGGCATGACATGTGCAGACCATCCTTGTCTGAACTGGAGTCCTCCCTTGTCTGTTGTTCTCTGAGGACCTGGACAGCATCTTCCATGTGCAGCAGCAACCACTCTCAGCACGTGGATAAGAGTCTTGTTAAGACAGGTGTCGCTGGTCTTCTATTTCCCTCGAAACCGGCCGGGGCAGGGTAGACGTTTGAGTGATGAAGTTTACCCGAAAGGAAGAAAGTGCCTTTGGTTGCTGCAGTGGACTCTCCTTGGGGTTTTCCCAAGCTGGGTTGAGTTGCTGTGTGCTGTGTGTAGTAGCAACAGTTGATGCTGGCTAGGATGCAGGCAGTCTGAGTTAGAGGAAAATCCTGGTGTTTAACATGTGAGTTTTTCTTGCTTTGGGATAGTTACATGGCCAGGATGATAGCCAAGTGTTTACCCATCCAAGGCCTTTTAAGGGAGTCTGCGTACATATTCAGTTGTAGCCCACTCTCTGGGGGCGATTTTCCCAAAAGAGTGCTCACCCCAAGTCTTAATTTTGTGCTACGAATCCTTTCCTTTTGAACACCCTGTCTGCCAAAATGTAAACTCTACAGGGTGTGATATTGAGTTTTTTTTTTAAGGCTGATTTTATTTATTTAAAAGATAGAGTTTGAGAGAGAGGGAGAGAGGTGGAAATCTTCTATCCTTTGTTTCACTCCCCAGATGGCCACAATGGCTGGAGCTGGGATAGGCCAAAGCCAGGAACCTGGAGTTTCTTCCAGGTCTCCCACAAGGGTGCAGGGACCCAAGTGCTTGGGCCGTCTTCCACTGCATTTCCCAGGCACATAAGCAAGGAGCTGGATTGGAAGTGGAGCAGCCAGGACTGAACCCAGTGCCCGTGTGGGATGCCAGCACTGGACGTGACAGCTTACCCTGTTAGGCCATAGTGCTGTCCCCAAGAGCAATTACTTCTAATCTGCTTTGATGACATAGTCCTCTCCAAAGATACTGTGTGCATGCACTACCCTCTCGACATTCTCTGTGCACTGTAAAACAAGCAGGAAAACAAAAATTCTTGAAGGAGGTGAGAATGCGATGGTTGTGGCCCCTGGGAATGGTGACTTCGTAGCATCATTAGTGCCTGAGACCAGGGGGCTGCCTTAGGGTAAGGTTCATTGTCAAAGACAACATTCTAAATGTTTTTTTTTTTTTTTTAATATGTTTTTAAACGTTGGGGTGCCTGTTTCTGGATCTGATTAGATCATTGTTTTTAAGTGTTAGTATGGTGCTTCCATGTTCTGGTTCACGTCCCAAATGGCTACAAGAGTTGGAGCTAGGCCAGTCCAAAACCAGGAGCTTCTAGGTCTCCCGCTTGGGTGCAGGGCCCAAGAACCTGCTTTCTCAGGGACATCGTCACGGAGCTTGGTTGTAAGTGGAGCAGCTGGGACCCTAACCGATGCATCGCAGGTGGGCAGGGGGCAGCTTTACCCTCTGTGTTACAACACCGGCCCCTTGATTTCTTTAGAAAAATCTTCAGAAGTCAAGCTGCCTGCATCATGAGGCTGGCTGTCCCGTGCAAGGCGGCGGGAAGTCACTATAGGCCAGGGTTTCCAAAGAGCCCGGTCACGGGCCACAGCCCATTTCCTTGCATTTCCTGTGTTGCTTCCGGTTCTCCAGATGGTATCTCACACAGGACACCCAGGAGGCTGCCGTAAGCTTCCCCTACACCAGCTCTGTTGGCTTTAAAACATGGAATGGGACCAAAGAGAGTTTAGTGGGTGTTAGGAGAGGCAGGTCTGTGTGTATGGCAAGGGCTGTTGGACAAAAAGAAGTGAGCGGGCTGTGGTGGGCTCCAGGGCCTTGGGGTCAGAGGCCACGTGGAGGCTCTGGCCTCCACAAGCTTTGGGACTCACTGCTGGCTTTTTCAGCCTCCATTTCCTCTTCTGGAGCCTCCCACAGTGCGGGTCAGGATGAGACGCGTGCAGGGCCCGGTCCAGTGTCACCTGCACCACGCGTCTGGGTGACCGTGGAAAGCTGCCTAGCTCGAATGTGTTGTGGCTCCGGCCTCAGTAACCGTCCCTCTGTGTCTTGCCTGCAGACTGCCTCTTCAAGCTATGCCCCATGAACCGCTACTCGGCCCAGAAGCAGTTCTGGAAAGCAGCCAAGCCCGGCGCCAACAGCACCACCGACGCAGTGCTGCTCAACAAGTTGCACGTATGTATGGGCCTTTGGGAGGGGTGTGTGTGTGTGTGTGTGTGAGAGA